ACTGCCTGAGAATCTCTCCCCTGGAAATGCCTTGTTAACCAGAAAATGACAGATATTTGTTATTAAATTCGCTTTTTATATCCGTTGTTTATATTCCGTTTTTACTCTGATAAAAAGATTTACTTTATTTAAATCTTACGCCAAATATTTTGCTTTTTTTTCTGGAATTTATTCTAGATCTTTAATTATTTACGCGATATGATATTCGCGCTTTATTTCGCTTTTGACAAATACACGGGATAGCCAGCAACGAAAGATTTTGGCTAATGAAACCATTTTTCGTACCCCATTAGCAAACCTAATAGGAAGTACTTACGCTAAAATATGCTCCACAACAGGAAGAAATGCCGGCTGTGGCGAATGTAGAGAAATAGGTAAGGAATACTTTAGGTCATTAGCGCGAATCTCAGATGAGCTAACTAAACGATCAGTATCATTCACAGCGATAGCTTCAACGAAAACATCGGCATCAGTGGCGCAAAAATTCCGCAAAGTCAACTGTGAGATTGAAATAAACGGTTTGGATTCATCGAATAGAGAAACAATATCACAACGTCGTGCCGTCTCGGGATTGCTGATCACCCAGTTGATCTCCGCTTGTGGAACAGATTCCACAGCGGCAATCAGCACCACGTCTTCACCGATGTTCGGTGTCACTGTTGGTGCCAACGGTTGGATGAATCGCAGGGGAACTTGACTAACCACCTCCTCCGGCCTATCAGCCGGTGTCACATGCATTGGTCCAGTTTCTAGCACAACTTCACTGATAGTTGGTCTCCTCTCGTGCAGCGCATAGCTTGTGACCAGCTCCTCCGTCGGTGTCTTCGCAATCGCCTGTACAACCACGCTTTCATCGACTTGCGGAGTAAAATCATGCACTGTCAACTGCGATGTCGTGTAAGTTGGATGTGCTTCATCTACCAAAGGCACTACCTCACTGCGCTTAGCAGTCTCCGAACTACTTATTGTCCACGTGATTTCTGCCTGTGGCACCGCTTCCACCGATGCTGTCAACACCACGTCTTCTCCTGCAGTAGGTTCATCCCTCGGTTGAAGCGGCTGAACAAGACGAAGTGGCACACTTGCTGGCGTCTGTTCATCAGGTTGAAGTGGCACCTCAGTCAGTGGTTTCTGGGGCACCACGTGTAGATCGCAAGTGCTCACCAACTTTTCGCCCTGTGGATATATCACCTCTACCGTTACTAGTCCTTCATGCTTCCTCTCAACACGCTCAATGGTGAGGACTGAGTAGCTTGCACTCCTCTCAATCGTGATCTCTTTAAATGTATCAGGGGAAACCTCTATTCCGCTCCAGTACCACTTGAAAGTCACTGGACCTTCTGGTGCCTGTACACCACACTCCAGAACAACCTTGTGTGTCTCCTGCACCTCCAGATGGGGCCTCAAGCTATGCATGAACTCTGCAATAAACCTCTCCGGTTTCTCCCTCTCCGTTATCTCTCTCTCCTCTGGAGCCCGAAGTTCACACGTCGTCACGAGCTCCTGATCCGCAGTTCTCGCCACCGCCTTCACAGTCACCCCACTATCCGTTATCGCATTGAAATCATGAATGGTGAGTTGTGAAATCGACCTAGTGGGATAAGCCTGGTCTAACATCGGCACTATTTCACAACGTCGTGCCGTCTCGGGATTGCTGATCACCCAGTTGATCTCCGCTTGTGGAACAGATTCCACAGCGGCAATCAGCACCACGTCCTCACCGATGTTCGGTGTCACTGTTGGTGCCAACGGTTGGATGAATCGCAGAGGAACTTGACTATTTTTAATGCATTCCACTTTTGTTGTTGACATTGCGGAATCTCCACTGCTTGTTTTTGCTCGCACACTTACCTCTCGTGGAATTTTTTCCATTTTGACGATGGGCATCGTTAATATACTTTTTGAATGTTCCTTCTCTTCTATTATACTATCTTTTGTAGTTCTTTTAATTTCCACGCCGTTGATATACCATTGGAACTTTACTGCTTCGTTAGCAATTACTTCATATTCGAATACCTTTTTTTGGCCTACTGTAACCCACTGTTTTTCGGGCAGATATTTGCTAAATCTTAATGTTGTACTTGGGCCAACGTGCTCCACGTTAATTTCTGTCCTGCAAACTGTAACGCCAAGTTCATTCTCTGCCCGAACTATGTACTCTCTGGCGTCTTTCTTGGCACAAATCTTATTTATAAAGAGGGTATAATGTTTATTTACATTTTTCTCCATAATTCTACACTCGCTTGTCGTCGTTGGCGAATCTACTCGAGGCGGAAACAACTCTACTTCGTTGTGGAAATAGCGAACTTTCGGTTTTGGTTCTCCGCGCACTACAAATTCGATTCTGTAGGAAATTGTTGAAAACACACTAATAAGTTACGCGTTCAGTGATTTATACAGCGATAGATTAAGGCGTTTTATTTACGCACACATGCGTACGATTTGTCATTTTAACGCTCCCATTCATACGGAGTAGTGGGCAGGAAAGCAATTCACCGTCACGGATTTTTGAATTTACCTTTGTTTATAATGAATAAGGTGCGCATCTACGTCGATTTGAGTACGAAGCGAATTCACGAATTGTGAAATACCGCGTAGGTTTTACGATGTGGGTGAATATACCGCGTAATCCCATTTATACCACCTGTTTAGCTGCGTTTTAACAACTACTTAAGCATACAAACATTATTACCTCTTAAAATTATTATTAAGTGTGTACGATCAAACTACTGTCATCTCAACTACCAATCTACGATTTGTATTTACATGATAAAGAATGAAACTGGAAAAATATACTGCGTGCGCTTATTGAGACACATTTTTGCTTGTTAAATAATTTTGAAGAATTAATAACATCCCTAAGAAATACAAAACTTACTGAGCAGTAGCGGTTTCAAATGCAGTGAGCTGTTCAGGTGGACACGTTAAGAAGACCGGAGGCTGCTCTTTCACAGCTAAAAATTTGGTAACCTGAGGAGTTATTACTGGCTTACCTTCAAGGTAAGTTTACTAAAATTGTAAATTCTAACCTGGTAGTACAATTAACTTTGTCTTTGTAACTGCCTTGCCGAGTTTGTTGAACGCCTCGACACTGAATTCAGAGCTGTCAGTTTGAAATAGTTCAAGTATTTCTAGACGATGGTGAGTGGAGGTCAATTGGGTAATTTGGATTTCAGGCGTTGGAGCAAATGGAGTACTATCTCGCTTCCAAACAAGTTGCGGTGTTGGCTTTCCGACTGCTTCGACGTCCAGTGTGAGGGAAGTGCCCTCAGGAAGTTTCAGTATCTCTTCTGGAAACGGTGTTGTAAAGTCGGGTGCCTTTTCATCAGCTGCGGTGGGAAAAAATTAGTAACTGAATGAAGGATTAGTAAACGCTGAAAAAATGAAATAAGGAGCAGGCTTTTACAAATGAGTGTAGTGAGGCATTCATGTGAATCAGATTTAAGAATGAAGACTATCAACAAACAAACAGATACGTGTTGAGATAGAAGGGATCATAACTAATTCACCCGGCATTTTAGTGCGTAAAGTTCATAATACCTACTATTCTCTCAGAACTTACATATTATATCGAGTCGGGCTGATTTTTCAACCGAACCCTCTTGATTGGTTACTCGAATCTTGTATTCACCGGCATTTTCGGGCCGAACATGATCAATACGAAGAGAGGCTTTTCCATCGGGTGTTACTATGGGATGGAAATTTGCTGAAGGTTGAATTGCAGTCTGCCCGTTATAGATCCAAGTAACTTCAGGCACTAAAATTTTACACATCACGTTTTCGGATTTACAAAATAAATAGCAATAAAAACGAATGCTCCAAAGTTGGATGCTAAAAATCTTAGTTTTCTTACGATATAACGCATGCACACTTCAAACTCACTTGGCGATCCCGCCACCTGACAGGCAAAAGTAATTGGTGAACCTTCTTGAACCTCAGCGTTTTTAGGTCCCTGTATAATGACAGGCGGTTGTGAAGGCTTGGTCTGTTGGGTCGGGATTTCTACAAAGGTGAGCGTACCGGTTACATCAACAATGCTGTTGTATTATTATAGTATGTATTGTTATATTTCCGTAACTACTGTTTGTATTGTTAAGGGGCTCAAGACCTAAAATTACTTTGGACAGGCCGTAGGAGTGGAATCTTTCCAGGGGCAGGTAGTACTCTCAGGTTAGCCGATGCAGTGACAACAGCATTAGGTTCGGTCCTCGCAGCGCCCTCTGAAACATCAGCACGAAGAGCCTCAACCGTAACGACACCACTGTCCTCGGGTCGACAGTTGCGAAGTTCAAGATGATGAAGAAGGCCATCAAAATGTGATGATTCTCGAGGTTCTTCTGAACTGATCTCAAGGGGAACAGTGGGCTGTACAAGGACACCATTGATGTACCAGCAAACCAAAGGACGTGGAGTTCCAACTACCATTGTTGAGAACCGAGCACTGTTCCCCTCAACTACATCGAGAGATTTTGGAGCCTGCCTAATTTCTGGATAGGGTGAGTCACTTGGCCTGCAATATCAAAATAATGTTAAAGTTGCTGGACATTGGAACGAATTTATGGCGCAAAAATACCACTATTTAAGGCCCTATATGGATCCGATAATCCTAAGGAGGGTGTTTAAATGATAGATATGCATCATGTCAACTGGCTAAAGGAACTTTGCTTGACGAATTTTCCCGAAAATATCTTTGAACATTGTGACCGGAGTACCGCTGCACACAATATGGGGACTGAAGGCGTACAGAAATCCCACAACTATTTTAAATCAGGTTGAAGTTGGCTCTCATTTTCCATATACGCTTTGCCTCGCACTATATTTTAACTCACCCTGAGACAGAAGTACGCTTCTTTGGAATGAAAAGCATCTTCTGTGGTTCCTCGGTTACGGGCTTTGGGACTAAAGTAAGAAAAAGTAGAGACCGTTACAGGAGTTTCGACAAGTTCCATTTTGTTAACTCGAGTCATTAATATCTAACCTTCTAGGTCTAGTTTAGTTCGGCAAGTCGCCAACCCAGCAGTACTAGAGGCAAGACACTGCCAAGTCCCAACATCTTCAGGTTTGATCTCAGCGACAGACAGTTGAGTTGAATTTTCTGTGACAAGAACCTGGATGCGGCCACTTGAAACTTCAGTGGGAGAAATGAGTCTGCAATACAAAAAGCTTAAATAAAAACTGTAAATAATCATGCATCGCCTTTCTGACAATAAAATTGCAACTAGTTGAAGAGCATTTGCCTATTGGAGCATAATTTCGAATAACTTTGAGGTTCTTAAAACGCAAAACAATGTGTTCTGTACAGCAGATATGGCTTAAGTGTGTTTGGTAACCCACCTTCCATCCTTATGCCAAGAGATTACAGGTGCAGGAACTCCCTCGAAAGCAGCTTCAAGTAGAAGGGGCTGTCCTGGCACTGTAACAATTTTAGAAGCAGGCTTCTTTAGGAATCTTGGCGGAACAGTAACCTGCTGAGGCTTAGGTTCAATCGTAACAGGGAAAACAAGCTCCTTAACGCCCAAGGGATTGCTGGCAACACACCGATAGGTTCCACCATCAGTGAGCGATGTTGGCGCCTCCAAGGTGAGACAATGAACCGAGTCGGGAAGTGTCAGTATCTGCAATTGTAAAAGCGTAGACTTTCATTTGGAATTTAACCATAGGATTTCGTTCATGAAGCGACCTTCCAATTAACTCACCTTGTGCTTAAAATCGGAGTGCACTGGATGCTCATTTAAAAACCAGGAAACATTAGGTTCTGGAACTCCGTGAACTTGAACTTCAAATCTTAATGGAGTTCCCTCCAGCGAGGAAAATATGCCCGGGGACTGAATTACATCTGCCTGGCCCTCCGCCAGTGATAGAAGAGGAAATGGAGCCTTTGTGAAGCTCGGTGGAACGCCCATGAGTTCTAGTATGGGTTCGTCGTGTTTGGGCTCTGGAAGGGCACCGAGGTTGACCTAAATAGAAGAGTAATATCGAAAAAATACATTGGGACCAATTATTTTTACCTTAAAAATTTCTATGGAAATACCTGCACGGAGGAGGAGTCATGACCCAATGGATTAGTGACAATGGCTGTATAGGTTCCAGCATCAATGGGCCTTGGTTGGGCAAAATGGAATACCAACGTGTTGTTAGGCTAAAAACAAAGACATCAATTGTCAAGTCCATCTGCAATAGTGATAGTGTGATATGCTGTTGGAAAGGCAGAAGTTGTTACCTCGACGGACGTGAATACTCTGTTGCTCGACACGAGAGGTTGTCCGTCCTTCAGCCAGCTGACGGAAGGCAATGGAATGCCGGACATTTGAGCGGTAATCCTTGCGGGAACATTTTCATCCAGTGTTAAAGAGTCAGGAAGCCGTCGAATGAACACCGCCGGTTGACCACTTCTGTCGGGATGTGGAAACTCCACAATTATGGGCTGAAATTCCATAGGTGATTTCTTTAATTCCATCTCTAATTCACTAAGATGTTGGAGAGGTTTCGTCACCTCCACAGCCATGACAACGGGAGAAAACGCCCCCTCTACTTGGACATCTAGCTGCGTCCTTTCTGTGGGTGCATAGGGAACTCCCATAGTAACCGGTGCTAGAGTCCCAGGTAAGTCAATGCGAGTCACCTCGGTGTACCTAAACAAAAAGTCATTTTTGTTAGTGAGTTCAGAGAGAACGTAACAATTAATTGAACTCACTCTTGGATGAGGGTAAGTCGAGTAATTGATTCCACCGATCCGTACTCGTTGGAAGCACGCACCGTGTACTCACAAATGTCCTCTTGCTCGATCGACTGGATCACAAGTCTGTATATTCCAGTGTTCGGGCTTTCTTCCATTCGGTACTTGAAATCTGGATAGATTTCAATTCCGCTGCGGTACCAAGAAACACGTGGAGGCGGTTGGCCGGATATTTCTGTTTCTAGCACAACCGTTTCGCCCACTCTGCACTGAACGGTTGGAGTTAATCGCTTAACAAACTGCGGACGCTGACCTTGTTTTTTAACTAAAATAATGCAAGTGTTTAGAATTAAATTTATAACATATCAAATCGCTTGAACTTTATATTTCTTACCTGGTGGCGTAAAGACATTCAGTGTTACAAAGGTTTCAGCTTGTCCAGCTGAATTCTCTGCCACACACTGATAGGTGCCAGAGTCAGTCGGGAAAAGTTCATTTATTACAAGGCGACCGGTCATCGAGACAGGGCTGTCTAAGAGGTCCCCAGGTTTAGCCAGTTCCGGTCCCACCTGGGTTATATCGTGTTCAGGAGTCGAATCCAGCTGTTGGCCGTCACGATACCAGTGAAGGAAGGGAAGCGGATTACCCATCGCCTCCGCGGTGAGAGTGAGCGGACTTCCAGCTTGCAGGGTGAGATCAGGTTGAAGGGGCTAGAAACGGATATTTTTGACAATAATTACAAATTTGGAAAAGAACACAAGTTTGAAATTGTTCTTTTATCCTTTCTTATTTTATTGAACTTGCTCAAAAAGTTGTAGCATAAAATGAGGTGGTTACATGAATTAGGTTAACCAAAATGATCGGATATGTAGTGTGTAGCAAACAATTTCAGTTTGGATTTAAAACACGAAAAATGGGAAGTTATTCAAACATTTTTAAAATAAACTGCCATTGGGAGTTGTAGAAATGCAAGCTTAAGCTTGCTCTAATCGGGGGTACTTACAATGGTGAACCAGGGTTTCTGTGGATTGGCTTGTCTTGGAGGTTGGACAACAGGTTGCAGAGATTCCGCTTAAGAGTTAAAACCGATTTCAGTGGGCAAGGAATACATCCTCGCAACTGCTAAATACATTCATTAAATCAGTCAATTTGTAAAATGAAAAGACTCAGTATACTAATTTGAAAAATCACACATCATCGCTATTTGCGACTAATGCATAGAATTACACCAACGCCTTTTCGAAAACGATGTCTATGTAAAAACAGATTCATAATCCTCCTCTCGACCTAAAGAAAAGTGGCTCACGTTTAGGAATCACATCCAAAGTCATAGTTGTCTCTGCGCGACCGTATGGGTTTTCGGCAACACAGACGATCGACCCGGCGTCTGTTGGAGCTGCTCTCAGTACTTCTAGTTCACCTACCATTCTAACTGGTTCTGGTTGGATGGCATTGACATTTTCGAGATATGGACCGAATTGAGAGATCTTGTAGTTCGGTCCGGTTTCTAGAGGAATCCCATTTCGATACCAATGCAGGAAAGGCATCGAATTAGCTTTGGCCTCTACTGTCAGAACTATGGGTGTTTCTTCCTCTACCACTCGACATTGTGGCAATATCTAGGGAGGTAGAAAATAAGCTCTTAGAAATAATATAGTACTCATTTCCAAAGGGTACTATTTAACTATCCTTACTCAAGTACTCAATAGGTGGATTTCCTGCAACTAATGCTTGTGAGCTAGTGCCTGCCCCAAATAGGTGATTACATCAACCGATCAAAAAAGGGAAATAATTTCCTTGCTCACTAATCATCCGGAATATGAGCATTCATTTTAACTTCAACTAAAGCCTACTTACTTATTTGATTCGCAAATTTAAATGCACTATAAGACTTTTTCGAAACAATAAATTTACCTTTACCATCAAGTGAACTCGGTGGGAAAAGATGTTAAACAGTACGTGTGAAACATGCGTTTGGGCTACCAAGTTGAGATTTATAGACTGTGAATACTCACTTTGGCGAACTTTGGAGCTTCCGGAGTGGGTGCAATTGTGGGTCCTGGAGTCGGTGAAGCCAAAGGAACAGTAACCTCAGTCCTGGTCATCTCATCTCCAGCGAGTTTTGGTGATGGCATAGTTGAAGGAGGCCACGATCCTGTATCAAAATGAAACGGTTCTGTCAATACTTAATCATTACCTAGGATGCCTGTACAAGGTGAAAGTAGTGTAACTTGTTTTCTAGACGTCTCTTCATTCGTATCGTTACAACTGGCAAAATTATGTCAGTGCTCAGCTACAGTAGACCAAACTCACGTAATGCGGATCAAATCAAGGCGGTTTATCAAAACCCACCTAAAACAGTGACAATTCCTGATGTGATGGCTTCTCCCGCCTCATTCTTTGCAATCACAGAATAACGACCGGTATCAGTTTTGAGAGCGTGCGGAATCGTCAAAGACTGCACACCGTCGGCGACTTCCTCAATTACGAAATCAGGCGAGCTGGTGATTTCACGACCGTTGACAGTCCACTTGACATCCGGTTTCGGATGCCCGTCAACTTTGACAGTCAAACGTATGACATTCCCACTCAGAACGGTGGTATTCTCAAGAGGTTTAATGAACCTTGGAGCCACTGCTTTAGCAGTAATGGTCAAGTATGCATAGCTTTCTGCCGTTCCGGCAATATTTGAAGCCTCACAGCGATAGGGTCCGATGTCTTCTTCACAAATCTGCATATGGAATATGAAGAAAATTAACGTCTGAGTCGATATGAAAGAAAAAATCCACTGGTGAGATTTTCGCATTTCTAGTCTCCTTTATGAATGACTAAGTCTAGATTTAACGTAGTCTAGACGGTCTAAAGCGGCACTCGGATCCTGATTATCATAAAACAGGAAAGAGTGAATACCTCTCTAAGAGTCAGCCTAACAGTTCCATCTGGACAGTATTCCAGGCGAAAGTCGGGGGAATCCGTGAGAGGAGTGGATTTTCGGAACCACGAAATGGCGGGCGTAGGTTTGCCACTCACGACACCTTCTAGAATGACTTGAGATCCCTCTTCAGCAACAACATTGTTGAGATGTTTAACGAATTTCGGAGGTGTTGGAAGTTCGACAACCAAATCAATGGGAACGTACTAAAAAGAGGTGAAAAGTAAACCACTTCTTCTCGTGCATACAAATTAAACAAATTGGGTCATTTAGTCAACCTGAACGCTGACGTCGGTGGAATAGCTTGTTTGGAATCGTTCCTCCGGTTTTTGAACCAACGGGACAACGTCCATAGAATGTTCAACATCCATTGTGGTTGCATATCCAGGAAACAGTTGTGGTTGCGCTGGCACAGGTCGCTCCATTTGCGTTTTGTAACGCAGCTTTATAAAAAGTGAATAGTTAGATCAGGTTTAATCATTTTCAGGAGGGTAGTAACAAAATCAAATTATCTCACTTCTTTTAGCTCCCTTTGAACCTCCATTTGCCGTTCAAGACTAGTTTTCGATTCAAACCCGGTTTCTAGAGAAGGACGAGCAGGCAGTGAGCGCTCTGTTTCTGTCTTGAAGCTTGGAATCATCGGCACGACACTTATGTTGTGCTCGAATTCGCCTTCACTAGTGTACCCAGGTTCTAAGGCAGGTTGGCTGGCTACAGAGGCCTCCCGTTGAGTTCGGTAGATCGGAACTATGGGGGTCACCTGGATGGTCTTGTGGTGAACCACCTCGGTCGCCATATTGGACTCAAGCACAGGACGGGCTGAAATAGGAGCCTCAACCAATACTTTGAACCTGTCTTGTGATACGGTTCTTCTAAGAGGTTTGAGCTGTAGAGGCTCTAGAACCTGTCGAGTCTCGTAGACAGGAACCATCGGAACCACCTCAATAGGTCGCATTAGGTCCTCGGTAGAAACGTAGCCCGGAGACAGACGCGGGTGACTGGCAACATGATGTTGCACGGTCGTCTCCTGCAACGGGACTGTGGGACACACTCGCATCTTGTTCAGCACTGTGAGACTGCTAGCATGCCTAATTTGCAGTCTTGGGGAAGGCACTGATTCAATGGGTCGCAGAACCTAAAAAATAGGTCATTTGAGGACAAGTTGGAAATAATTGCCCAATGAAGTTTCTGGAAGTTAAAAGGACGGGACAGGATCTGCGAAACCTACCTCTACTTTGCTCATCGCCCTCTCTGGAGGTAAACGGAAAGTGAATTGCACAGGTGGCGTGGTGTGCCGTTCATTGACGTGCAGTTGTGTCGTTGAGGTGTATCTGCGCAGCTCCGGCGGCTCAGAGACCTCGCGCAGGAAGCGCCGAGTAGTCGCTGTAGCATACGTCGGGATTACGTGCACCGAATCAGCCGGGCTAATCTGTCGCCACGGTGATGTTTGACGGGGCAGTGTTGTGTAAACCACCGGAGAATGTGGAGATAGTGAGGAAAGGGACCATTTGCGTGGCAGGTGGACAGTAGCTGAGCACGTGGCGCTTCCATGAATATTCTCAGCTAAAACCTCGTAGTGACCTACATGTAAAAGTGAAGAAGCATGTACCCTGGTTCCTCAATGGCTTATCTCAAAGGCCAACTGGCGGAAAGAACGGCACGGCTAAACAGTAGAGGGTTGAAATACCCTGACAAACTTATTCTTTCATCTATCGTTCGCATGATTTTGAAAATTGAGCCTCATAAGTCCGGAAAAGTTACTGTGTAAATTATACTCGAGTAAATCAGAGGTATGTATTTCCAGTTGGAATACTTGGTGCCAGCACAATAAATATTTTGTTTAAATACTTTCTTGCAAGAATGGTAGACCCTTCCCATTAAGGGAAACATAAAGCAAGTACTAGCCGTCATCTTGAATTCATAAGTGTTTTCAACCCATCTAACTACTCATTTTTCGTGCTTATGACCATATTTGATCTAATTTATTAGTTACATTTAAGTCCAGGCGCGATACTCACCAGCAGTGTCCTGGCTCGGTTGAACAATGGTGAGAGTATGCACGCCAGGAGGTCTATCAGCGGTGATGTGGTAGCGTCGGTCTTCAGGCCCGATCCTATGGTTGGCGTGTCGCCATTCAACAGTCGGTCGCGGAATGCCCAAAACGAAGCAATCGAGGCGTGAGAGTCTCGGTGAGCGAGTTTCCATGTAAATGTCGCTGCGAAACAGTAAAAGGCTAAAGTATTTGGAAGAGGGATTTGGATAGATAAAATTGACGATTACTATCCATTTGAATTCATCACAGCTATCAAGGAGCGTGGGTTAATAATAAATTAAAAAGCGTACCACGTTCCTCAATTAGCTAGCTTAAAATTATCATACGTAATTCTGCGAATGAAATAGGATTTCAAGGTTTTTCACATCCAGCTATCGAGAGTAGTCTGTAAGGACTACCCGTATGAGTATGCACGAAAATTAAAAAATTTTATGCTTAAAATTGATCTAATAACATTTCGTAATCCATTGTACCACGAAATCTGAGCATAACAGCTACTGCCTATTTTGTCTGAAAAAAAATGACTAATCCTACCGAAGAGGTTTGGTAAATCGTGGAGGGCCCTCATGGAAGGGTGAAGCATCCATAGGTCTGGGTCCTTTGTCTGCTGGTAGGATGTTTACGTGGATTTCAGACTGACAGACACCAACGCGGTTTGAGGCAACAGCCCTGTATACGCCGGCGTCCTGGATGCTTGAATCAGTCATGCTCAGTACGGCGGTGGATCCCACCTGCGAGATCTATCGAAGGGAAACAGGTAAACACGCATTCCTCGTGCTTTACACATCGCCTGGTTTTGATACGTCAAATAAACTGGTTCCAATCCCTGGCGTGACGCAAAGTCAAGTGCACTCAACTCTCAGGACAAACACTGAAGAACAAAGAACTGAGACCACACACGACCGCCGGTTAGCAGAGTCGTGGGTGCACGAGTACCCCCTCGATGGTTGGGGGGTGGGCGACCGAAGGTACTCGCAACGGTGATCCATAATTGTGGCTACCTGAGTGGAGCTCACTGTTCAGACCTTGTGAATTTGCGACCAACGGAACTCATCCAATAGTGGAATCAGATATACGCTCGGCTTTCAGGATGAAGAAGCAGGTTGGATTTTCAATTGCCGTCTTTGAGTAATGTATTTCCTATGCTTTGGGCTTAGTATCATTGTGTTAGGGCTTTATTTTTAGAAATTAGGTAGTTTGCACAAAATCGTGTTTTATGTCCATCGGTACGACTAAATGAATATCTTTATGGCTCTAATACTTCCCATTATAGTAACATTGTTTGAGTTTACCTTTGTGGCACCCATTGTGAATGTCATATGCTCTTATGACAAGCAAGAGTACCAGAACTCTATCAAAATGTTCAGTTCGTGTGAATTTTTTTGTAAGGGATCGTCTGAAAATCAAAACATTTCCATACGTTTCAACCGAAATTTAATCTAAGGCAAACACTGTACCCTCGTGTGTATTCGCTATCTTTCCAACCAATATTCCTTGCCTTCAAGAAAATGTGGCCCCGAAAGACCTGAGAAAATTGCTACCCTCGGAGCATAGCGGCAAAGTGGTGAAAATTAGTTTCATCTCTATATATATGGCATTATGAGAAGCTCTCACCTCGACATTGGGTGATGCCTGAAGAGGCACTGTGTCTTTGTACCACGTTATCGATGGTTCTGGACGTCCAACAAAGCTGCACTCCAAGGTTACACCCTCGCCTTCGTTGATTGTCAAATAGCGTGGAAGGGACTTGACGATCTGAGGTGGTCGGTCGGCCGATTCATCACCGCTTGACAATGCTGTACAAAAGAACGTAATTTGGCATCATTATCCCAATTATTCCCCCTCATGCACTTTTAAGCTATTTAATCATGCTTTTTCATCAACCCATCCTCGCAAGTACACCACTACTCCACATCTTACGTTCAACATCCATTCGACATGAGGTTTTCGCCACGCCAGCAGGGTTTGTTGCAACACATGTGTACTCGCCATGGTCGGTTAGGTAGATGTCACTAAACTCGATGCAGTGTCTGTCACCCTCCGATCGAACAGTGTAATTGGGCGCAGAAGTCAAAGACACGCCGTCCTTGTACCAGTCAATTTGTGGCTTAGGTCGGCCAAGAACCCGGCATTGAAGGCGCACCATTTGACCCTCCGTGGCTGCAGCATTGTGCAGTGGTTGAGTGAAATGCGGGGGCAACTGACCAGGCGAGAATGTTCGTTTAGGTGCGAGTAGGTCTCTACGATGCCTGAGAGAACAAACGGCCGATGTTATGTCTTGCGGAAAGAATTCAGACGAAAACCAAAAAGACCACATCAGTGGCGTCTAAACCAATCTCATCGCCATTCTGATTAATTCCTCAACTTCAGGCGGCATGTGATGTCAGGAATAGCCATGTAAACATCAACCGAAATAAATCAGTCAAAGATCCCAGACATGCCAATTTGTGGAGCGAATAAATTAGTGACTTAATCCTCAAAATAATCAAAAAAGAAGTGATTACCGCTTAAAATGGAATCGTGAGTGCCAGTGAAACAATCACAGGATGGCTGCCATTCATTCAAAGTCACAATTTCCCAAAGTGTAATTAACATTAAAATACGGGATTCGGAGGGGGATGTTTTAAAAATTTTTAGTTAATGGTAGGCTTTATACTCAACCTATAAGACGCAGTGATCTAGCATTTAGTGCATGTTTAGTTGTGCACATTCAACTCACTCAGTCCCATAGATACTGGAGAATTGTGGAGGCACCGAAGTCGCTCTCCACGGAGGTCTAGCCTCCACACTGACCGGAGAGTAGACTGAGCGAGGCGAAACCTTTCCCTGGTCAAAAGATTCTGGCCTAGCTGGAGCTGTTGTAAGTCTAGGGGAGCTTGCAATGGGTGACTGCTTTCCATCTTGTAGGGGTGACTGTGGAAGAGGCCGGCGTGCAGGTTGCACTGACGCTGCGTCAACTAAATCCTCGATATTCAATGGCCTCTCGACGCGTCGTGATCGCAAATCCACCTGGCAGGAGCTCTTCGCCTCTCCTGCAGGGTTTCTCAGCAGGCATGTATATTGGGCAACATCCTGTTGGTATGTTGCTGGCAGTTTCAAAATTGCTTTGTCACCAAAAATGTTCGGGATAGCGGAACTCTGTGTGGATTCCAGAGGCACACCATTGACGTACCATTCGGCGCGTACGGGTGGTGTACCCTGAAGAAGATAAAAATTTACTCGGTATTTAGTTTTTACTTTTATCTTATCAGTAAAAAATAAATCAAAGCCGAACCAACCTTGAAGGTGAGTTTAAGTTCAAGCGATTGACCCTCAGGAACTTGCTTATCGGAGAGAGGATAGACAATGCGAGGAGGTTCAATGGGCCTGACGTGAAGTTGGCAGGTAGTAATGGCTTCACCGTGGTCGTTCCTTGCTCTACAAGTGTAGTTGCCATCATGAATGGATGCATTAGTCTTGCGGATCTTAATGGCACAAGAACCGTTCACTTCGAAAACAACGTATTCGGGACTGTTGTCAATGCTGATGCCATCCTTAAACCACGCGATCGTTGGTACTGGATTCCCAGTTGCCTGGCATTCTAGCATCACGGGTTCATCTTCTCCAACCTCCATCGACCTAAGTGGTCTGAAAATTAAAGGACATTTAATTTACATTTTCATAATAAGTGATAAGACCATCGGAAAGGTAAACCGTCCTCACTATTTTGTTCGTTCGAAATTACGATAAAGTTGCTATCCCATTACATGCCTTCTATATGTGAGCTTTCATTAGTGCTATTGGTGATCGCAAAAGGTTCGCGCTTTTGCCTGATCAAAGTGAAATAATGTCTGGAAGTAATTCATCGGAAAGTTCACAATGCTTTATAAAGGAATCTAAGGTATATAGTACCTTGTGAACCTCGGAGCCTCTCCAGTTTCTTCCTCAAACGGTGGAAAAGTTGAAGGAGCCTGCTGTGGTTTGCGTCGCTTGGTCGGAGTTATCATTTCCTCGTCAGCTGAGGAAATCGATTTGTGGGTCTCTGAGACCATCAGAGAACCGGAGGTCTCTACCTCCCCGAAGGGCGTCTTCAATCGGAATGTGAATACGCCGGAGTCATCCCCGAAGACCTCTTCGATTGTAAGACTCGCTGAGTGCTGATCCATTCTCGTGCGGTAGTCGGGGGTGGTCACCGGAAGACCATCTCTATGCCATGTGCCCTCAATGTCCACGGTCTCTGGATATCCTGCAATCAGACAAATGCTTGGTAGATTAAATCCTACCTAAAATAAGTGATATGTACTGCGTGATCTTGGAAGAAGTAGGGCAGGAGACTTCCTTATTCACGCCAACGAATTTGCAAACCAACACGATTGACTAGGCAGTCACGCATTCTTGTTGATCCTTTTTCCTATGTAAAGATAAGTGTTACCGTAGTTTCTGTGGAGAGAGTGATTTGAAAACTTGCTCTACCTTGTGGAATACCAGCATCGAAGTTAGTCGTCAAAGCGACTCGCGTCCCTTCAACCACATGTATGTTGGATAGCGGCCTAAGGATGGTGGGGGGCTTGGGGCGGGGCAGATGCATCTGGTGGCTGGCCACCGACTCCACAGCCTCTACCACAGGGCCTTGAAGACGAGTGAGGTCAACCAACCGCTCCGATCGCACTCGCACATCTTGCACCAGCTTTGACAACGCCTCTGTAGAATCCTGGAAGCGTCGAATTATTGGTTGTACCTTGATTCGCGCTCGGTCATCTGAGGGGAAGAAAAAGAGAATATACAGATTAGTTCTTAATATCAATTGGTATTTAGCAGGTCTCAATATTGTAATAAAACAATATTGGCTAGTGTATTCCATGTTAAGTACTTTCTAGTTTGTCTAAGTCGCGAGTTACGCCAAGTAATCTTCATTTTAGTGAAATAGTAGAAGTGTTTTCACGAACTGACAAAACGACGTGAGTATAAGGCATAAAGCACAAACCCTACTCCACCTGGGAATTGAGCGACAAGCGTTTGTAGCTGTGGCACGTGTTGATCGGCATATTTCTGAGCTCGGTCTCGTTGTGTCTCAATGTCGGCAACTATTTGACGCATCTGCACTTGGTCATCGGGTGCAAGACTCTTCAGGCGGTCGCTGCTTCTTCCCAGGTCCATCGTCAGACACGAGAGACAGTTCTCCGCGTCTCGCACAGCACGAAGCAATTGGAGTGTCAAATTCACCTCCGTTCGGCATTTGGCAGTTCCAGTGACCAGATTTGACACGCGGGTCTCCAGCTGACGTTGCCTCTCCTCCAACATCGGCACATCTACGCCACTGATCTCTAGTAGATCCGAGGGTCCGCGAATGAACTGCATGCTGGGAAGGTAGGCCGTGCTCTTAACGCGGCTTTGCAGGTCCTTTAACAAACGAAAAACAGGTACAACCCATTGGTTAGTTTAAGTGTTTGGTAAAATAAGGAGGCTAGCGCAATAATTTAAACGCACCGGTATTCGAAGCTCAAGAACGCGGAGATTTTCATCGGCGCGCTCAATTTGTGTGATCGGAGAATCGAGATTAACCGTGATGCTGATGCGCTGAAATTCTGACTCTGCATCCCGAAGATCACGTTCGACTTTCTTGATGATGGAAAAAGGAGTAATGGTTTACCGTCTCACGGGTGAAAAATCTAACCGAAAACGTTTAATATCACACTTACATCCATCTCCGTCATCCTGCTCAGTTGCTTGGCACGCTCCTCAAGTGTGTGTTTGTGTGCGTTGAAGACGCGCTCCCAGTCCTTGGACCGGATCTCCAGACCCGCGGTGGCAATGCAGAGTTCCGATCTCACCGATTTCGCCAGCTCCGCATCGCTAGGGCCTGGCGTGGTGTAGGGTACCTCCACATACCGGCGCACCCGCGAGGGCCCGTCCGTAGCCGTGGGCTCTGCGCCAACCAGTGAGGCGAGGGTGTTGGCCTTGGCATTAACCTCGGCGATTAGCTGGTTGACATAGTCACCATCGCGTGTGTGCTCTGCCAGAGCGGCTTCCACTGCCGGCACGCTCTGCGGTCGCGGTGCTTGCACGATGCGCGTTCGCGAACTAGTCATGGCCTCGTCAAGCTTGAGTGGAAAGTTGCGTGACTTTCGCAATTGTTTTAAAACAATAGACATGGCCAAAAAAAGCAGGCAGCAATAAACCGTATACATTGTTAACGGATACGCCAGTGTAAAAGAGATTGTTTGCGAGAAGCTAACAGGTGTGTGCATGCTGTTGCGCTTTTTGAAATAGGAGTGGATTTCAACGACTTCGCAGCTTTGACAACCAATTCAAAAGGAAATTCAGTCAATTGAACAGTACTGTTACCTATGATAACATTAATTCAATTCTTTGCCTACCTCTGAGATTGATGTTACTGATGTTACTTTTTTCCTGCACCCTAGAATACGTTGTCAACGCAAAAAAAATAGGAAACGAGGAAGTATTTCACCATTGGAACTTGACATATTTGGTATGCAGGATAGAGGCTTAACTTCCCACGCATTGAAAAGTGATTAAGTTGACGGATTTTGGCTGAATAACGGACTACTGAATGAACTAGTAGTACGTGTTTATTAGAATTCATTTCAAAATATTGCAGGAAGATTGCGCTATCTGCTTTCGTCCTTCCCTCATATGTTAAGGCACAATGTACAGTAGGAAGAATTTTACCTCAAAAAAGACTCACTTTATTTACCACCATATCAACTGTTTGAAGTCATCTGCAAGTTGAATTTTCTGGGATATTATCTTTCCAATGTTCAAAGTTCCTTCTAATATTCTCGACTCCTTATTCAGCTGAGCAACTTTACAACGGTATTCGACTGGATAATATAAGACGCTGCTTGCAGCACCATTTCCTCTCAAGGCAACGGAGGATTTTAACTACAGAATCCAGTAAGTAAAATTTATGAACCACATTGCACTGACTAGTTGCCTTTGGTCGGCACAGTGGTCAGTGTCTCAAAATCAGTGATTTAAATGACACCATTCTGTGAACGCACCTGTCTGGCGGAATTCCTGAAGTCGTTCCATTTCTCGACCCAAGAGAGCCAGATCTGTCTGGTTGACTGGAGGCTATTCAATTGCCCCTCCAAGTGATGCAGTCGTTCTAAATTCAACTGAATTTGACTTCGGTAGAAATTCTGCAGCTCCACCTTATCTGCCTCCGTGGCGTTGACACCGGAAAGCTGAAAAGAAAGTTGAGTCTTCAGTTATTTCACATTGATATGCCTCGGCAATGCCAACTGTGCACCACTTTTATTATTATTCTATAGTTAAAGTAAACAACTCTCAAATGATAGTTTTGAAAGGATTGAACTGGGTTTAAAATAAGTCATTTTCAAAAATAGGTTGCCAGTACCGAACTGACACTAATGATGACAGATTAAAAACAATTTTATACCTGTCAGATGAGTGAGCATCCGATGGTTTCCATTCGTACACTTATTTCCAATGCGTGTCTGCGAATGGCAATGTTTCTTTTTTGGAACTGGGCTTGAAGCCCTGCGTACTTAATATGAATCTTCAGTCAACCTTCAAAAGGTCAATGCAGAGTTTATTACAAATTTATTTCCTCCTTTCACATATGAAACCGACATTGGGGTGATGTCTGTCGCACGCCTCCGCGTGCACGCACCTACACAAGCGCGGACACACAGTTGGGAGCTATTATCGATCGCGTGGGTGTACGGTGAGGGGCGAGGGTGGACGCTGGAACGCCGTGTAAAGGTCACTCCTAGCCATCCTACTGCCTACACGTCCGCACGCGCGCACATGCACGTTCCGCGTTGTGTGTACGGCCGCATACGCCGTTGCTGGTTTTGGCGGGCAGGCTTTCTGGCCCGCTAGCCCACTGTTTGACATGCGCAAAAGGGGGCACGGTTTCGGTCCCCAAGTTTATAAACTACGTTGTGTGCTGATTCAGTAACCAGAAAATTGCCGTGATTTTTGTGACTTGGGTCAATTGCTGCGCGCACAAGATCCCATTTAACAATATTTTCACAATTCACCGTGAACAAGCTATGTGGGGTCTGTTATTAAGTCGAAAAAGTGAGCCGAGGCTCCATTGTTTAGCTGAAGTTAACCCATGATCCTCTCACAGATCTGAGGGTTAGAATGAAGCGTTCACCTCGTCAAGGGCATGTTGCAGCATCCGCTGTTGGGACTCTAGACGTGATCGGACCTCCAAGAGGTCTGCTTGAATGTTTGACATCTCGCCTTCTCGGAGTTCTTGACCGACACGCAAGTCGACACCACTGAGCGCCAGTGGGGTTTCAATGGCGACTGACTTGAGACGGTCATTCAACGCCTGGTAGTAATACTCGTCCTCTCGAATGCGCCTCAGCAGACGATTCAGGTCGTCAGCGATGCGCAAGCGGATGGTAATGGTGCGGCGATGATGTGCCCACGCTTCGGTTATCTCATCCAGGCGGTGCTAAAGGTGCACATATGCTTTTTTAAGTTGTTAGCCATTGACAACACTAATAATGTGCATTACCGTAAAGCAAAATCCACCACTTCTTTTATATGGTCTAGGTTCGGGAAAGACAAAATACTTTATCTTAGTATTCACACTTCATTGTGCTCTGGTACGATATCCTCAAGTAAAACCACTCCATTAACGTAATCTGGTGTCCTTTTGGAACGAAACATAACTTAAGTATTTTTGTTTAAATTGCGTAGGTTAACATTCACTGGTTTCTAAAAATAGTAGCTACCAGTAAATGAGGGAGAAAAAATGCACATCCCATTCTCATCGAAACATCTCGGTAGAATCCATATATCTATGATAGCGGTGTTGCTACTGTCAATAAAAGTTCAATGGAACGCAAATTCTTCCATCCAAACACCCCACCAGGAGATATGGGCTAGATAATTCGTCTATCCGGGTGTACCACACCTGCGACTAGTTCTTCGAAAGTAAGTTATCTATGGAGTTCAGAACCATTACTCGTACCTGGAAGTTTTGTTTTTCGGAGGACGGAGGCAAGGATAGGATGAGTGTGCTAAGGGTCGAAATTTCGCGATCTTGATAAGCCATTTGTCTCTCTAGATGTCTGTGAAGGTCTTCAAAGTCAGAAACTGAAGAAATTGCTGTTCCTGGTGACTGGTGGGTTCTCAAAACTCCATCGATCCTCTCCTGCATCCATCGCCACAGCTAGGAAAAGACAAGAATGCACATCACGTTAATGGCGAACCTGACCACTAATGGTCTGGGACACAAAGTAAGACTTACAGCAGTGAGCCTGTAGTCGATTTCTTTGAATTGTTGGTCTTTGATGTCTCGGCTGGGGAAGCCACTACATAGCCTGCGACATCGAACAATTGTTTCCTCGATCTCATTTAGCTTTGCAGACATTGCGAGATCTGCGGTTGAGGTTAGAGGGGAAATGGGTCGTGATGGGGCCACAGGTGTCAGACTCAGTGCTGTGACAGATGGTCTTTCGTCCACCCGTGAGCGAAGATCGGCTAGGATCTCTCGAAGTCCGGAGACCCGCATCTCAAGTTCAGTAAGTCGTTGGAGGATCTCATCACGAACCTCCTGTCGGGATGTACTGGCGAAACTAATGTCCTTTTCAAGGGTCATAAGATGGTTGAGAAGCTGTATGAAGGATAAAAAAGCATCGTAGGCTGAGCAGCTTGGAGGTCAAGCAAAAAAGATGGGTTGTTTGACTGAGACCTACCACGGAGGCTTCACTGAAGAATATGATGCTAGCCTGGAGGCATCGACGTCGGGATTCGATGCGATCGATAAACTCCCAAATGTAATTCTCTGAGGTGGCGAACCGATCAACCAGAGCCTTGTGAGCAGTTCGCATTTCCAAGTCAGGTTCTTCTTCATCCTCACTCCGTGGAAGGGTGAGTTGTTGCGCCTGACGAACCAGACGAGTGTTAATATGCTGGTATTCACGAGCATCTACTGCTAGACCCATCAAGGCCTCCATCGCAGCTTCGCAGTCTTGAAGGCTACCACCAGGCAATGCGGCAGCCAGATTCGGTTCTCCAACCTGTAAACAAGTGATATAAACCTCCCGTCTTTTATCGTTATATTTCTCACAAGCGCAATACAGCTGACGAAAATCAAGTTCGGTCACAATGTCTAACTGAAAATCACTTTCAACTTAGAATAAGATTTGGCTAAAAGTATCCATGATATTTAAGAATTGTTAAGAGTTTTTAGAACAATGTTTGGACCAGGTTATAAGAAATAGAATGCACTAGAGGAGGACACATAATAGCTTGCGATAAGTGAGCAACAAAGGAAAATTGGAAAGAGGAGCGCGTCTTACCTTGGAGAACCACTCAACAACTTTTTCGTGTTCGCTTTCAAGTCGGACGACGGTGAAACGGAGTTGGAGGAGTCGGGCACGTCGCTCCCAGGCGGCTTCGGCTAAACGATGAGCCTCGTTGGCATCTCCGGTGACCGCGGCGATGCGTTCACGCGTCTCGGCGCTGGTACGAGTCAGTCCGGACTCGGGTGTCTGTCCAGTACGAACGGCCATTCGGGTGAGCAGCTCCAACGCCCCATTGGCCGCCTCCAACATCCGACGAGTCGGTTCTAGTAATTCCACGCTCTTCAGCTCCTCATGCTCCTGCCAACGCCAACGCAGCACATAAATATCTAGCATCGCTGCTCTGAACGCCTATACTTTATACCAGTTCACAGGATGTTTACACTCTTCGACCTTCCCTTTCCACATGGCTTTTTCCATAAAGTATACAATATATTAAATAATTTAAGCACCAAACCGGTGAAAGTTAAGGAGAGAGCTTTTAAAAATATGTGTAGCTTAATTTTCGACCCAAATTTTTGACTCGTCTCTCAAGATATCATTTTCCGCATGGTTTTTCACAGGACAGACGGTTTTTCCATAAACGGGTCTTTAATAGGTATTCTAATCAAGTCGATGATATGTGCTTGAACCTAAGTGAATTAACCGACAGATTTCCAAATTTAAATTACAAAAAACCTCTGAAGTACTTAAACTTACCCCTCAATTAAGAACGATATTTAAGTTAAATAAAACAAATACAAGGTTTACACTTTCGGGACGTAAATTTAATTTAGACGGTGGGAAATACCTGAAGGAGTCGTTGAACTGATTCCATTGAGTCACCCCATTCATCCGAGGCAGAGGCCTCAATTATTCTGGCGACAGCGGCATGAACAGTCTCAGCGTCTTCAAAGCACTCGGCCACCAGTTGGAGGAGGCGGCCCCGTTTACCGAGAACGTCGAGGAGCTCTCGCCACGCCTTGTTGAGGGAGGAAGATATGGCAGAGTAGACACGAGCCTGACCCTCCGTCGGCTGCTGTGAGACCATCTCTTCGGCCCGCGTGAGTAGCTCCGAGATCTGTTCCTGCTTTGCCGCCAACTTCGAGACGAGGCTGGCGTGCTGCTCCAAAAGGTGACGCACCTCCGCTGAGGTGCCACTCGAACCGATGTCGTAGAGATCTGGTTCCATGCGTTGAATTCGCACCTTTATCCAGGTGCCGCACTGTGAAGGGGAGAGCATTCTCTTAGACCTCAGCCGAAGGCGTTTACTTAGGCTACTATTTTTAACTGCAAATGTGTTGGTTTCGATATAACTTACTCGATTTCTTCGATAAAGGTAACAACTTCCTACCAGATGTTAATTTTTAATGCAATGTGACGATTTACTATGACTCCTGTGTTTGGATGTAGCTGTAATTCTCGAATACGGGGCAAATAATCCTCCACCCCTTTTCAATATCATTGTTGATTTCAATAAAACACAATATGAGGGATATCTAACATCACTGACGCAAAACCATTTCCCTTAACTAAGTCCCTGCTCCTCCCTTTTGTTGGTTACTTATCACGAATTCCCATTTGGAGGGAAAATGTCTTCAAGTAAATGGCTTGAATATGGATCTACCTTTCCAAGTTGTTCTTACACCATGAAATAATCTTTCTTAAATAAATGAATATTATTTTAACACAGGCACCAAAATAAAGTACGTAAAAAGAATCTCACTCACTCGCATAATAGCTAGGATAATCTTTGATTGCCCAGCTTGGACTGCAACTGTGCTGATTGTGGTGGTGGAGGGAAAGCTGTCGGAGAAATCGGACGAAGACTGCGTTGAACTATCTTCTCTATCCGACATTGTTCGTCAATGAAAGGAGGCGAAAGCAGAAAGCCAAAAAAGTGGTAGCTAAAGCAGGGAGTGGTGGGCTAATGGGTGTGTGAGCAGATTCGCGAAGGCCACTGACGGTCTTTTCCACTAGCAAAAGAAAAGAGATCAGTTCAGCCTTCTTGGCAATTGGAGGATAGGGAAGGTTCTAGAGGTCAGAACAGTCTCGACAATTGATATGTCGTAGCCCTACTCCTCCCTGGTAATAGGAATTTGGAGTGAGGGTTGGGCCACAGGCCTCCTTTGTTGTTGATCAAGCTGAGATCTTTCTCTTCTGGTAGAGTGATCTCAAGTCCTGGTTGCAACGTGCCAAAAAGAACGCTCGCGCGCCCACGTCACTGATCTAAAGAACGCTATGGATAAATCGCCTGGTTTATAAGGCGGGTCTTTTGTGGGATGGCCAATAGGGTGAGAGACGTTTCAGTGTGCACAGAGTTTATTGGTTGGGTGCACGCGTGCGTGTGTGCGCGGGCGGACACGGGTTCGCGTTGGGCGCACTGGTTTGGGCCCTGCGACTGAACAACTTATCCCCCCAGTGCCAACTTCCGCCCCCAACTTATTCTAATGCCTTCTATTGACTTCAATGCACCCATGGTTCGGGTAAAGATTCAAATAACTTGTAGAAAGTAAAATGTAATGACGATGAAAGCAATGGGGAACTAGCAAAATCCGCCCCACACCCGATCCCATCTCCTATGAACGCTTACGTTTTCGCAGGGATACTGATACGAAATAGGCACTATGCAAATTGCCTATGTACAGAAGGGCTGAAAAGGTTACTGACACGGCCCAGAGGTCATACCGCCTAGTGGAAGCACAATAGCGGACCCTCAAGTGCCCATGAATCAGATTCTCTTCCCATCCTGCTAGCCCATCAGTTTTTGTTATTTAAACAAGTTGTAAGTACTAAACTAAAATTCGATCTGTTAATGCCAACACAATTTTTGAAGCACTAAACCCTGTAAAAGGCGAAAAGCTTTCTACCAATTGGCCATTTCGGTAATGAGAGAGTGCGGCTAATTGGCCCACGTTCACGGGATGGACAAAGCCAGTAGTGAATCGTCTAGTAACCACTGGCAAGTGTGCGTGCCCGTAAGTGTAAAAGACGGTGTTTGTCCGATGCGGCCAATCAATGGTGGACCTGGGGGCCAACTAGAGTACTCCCCCAACCCATCTCTCGCTTTATCAACGAGCTCTTTTAAGTTAAGGGGTACCATTCCCGGGATTTTGATTTTACGGTAGCTAATTACATATCGGGGGGAAATGTTAGAAAAATAAATCCTTTGCCTTTTATGAAGTACGATTTTGAGAAAATTTACCCGAATCTATACAAATAATTTCTTAAAATGGTAATTAGCAATTTTCAAGTTTCTCCTTTTCGCCATTCAAGTTGAAAGATGTGTAAGGTAGACGTTCAATAAGATTATTTTTCTTATCTTAACTGACGTCGGTACATCGCCGTTCCCCGTGTAGTTACATCGGTAACAATCGTTCTTCAGATGATTCAATATAACGGTGTAGAAAGTCACCATGGGAAAATTTTTTTTATACTTTGAGATAATGTAGTTTTCGATTGCACCGAAATCCCATGGGCTATTTAGCCATAATCTATACCTGTATGCGCAAAATTCGAACAAAGAAGGACAAGTAAGCCAGAAACGCTTACTTGTTCTCGGACAGTGGGAAGAGTGGACGCACTCAGGTTAAGATGCCTGAATAGATTCATGCCGCCAGACTAAGAAGTCAAAAAACCAGGCATTTTATAACAGCGAAAGACTACGTCAAATAAAATGTCGTAATTCCCTATGTATTAAAGAGGGCAGATTTTTTGCCGCATGTTGCCTATGTGATGAGCATGCCAACAGCATCATTTGTGCCTACTAGCGAAGGACCAGGAAAGGGAGGCAGCAGGAGCGGAGGCGGTGGAGAGGGAAAACTTCCCATCCGCCTCGTCTTCCATCTCTAGCCTCGTGTGCGCTGATCGGGGAAGAAGGCATGCGCGTAGGCGTGATCGTGATAAATGGCCCACTCGCCTCCCTTATTCCCTTTGAGTGTGTGTGTATGGTATCTTGGAGGCGCAGATGCAGGTGACTTCAATAAAAATCACGTTCGCACTACCCAAACAAGCCCGCCACAGACATTAGCATGGCACTGTAAATAAACAACTTCGAACTGAAGTATTACCACAATCGAACTTTCCAGAAACTCACCTCTTGGTACTTTCTGTGTTACCGTTGCTTTTGTTATTTTGCGAATTTGTAATGAAGTCGGTCAGTAGTAGTGTCAACAAGTAAAAGTATATTAAAAAAAACACAATTTTGCCTTACCTTTTAGACTATTTATGCCCGAATGCAAGATCGTTTTTGCACTGTGGTCGTTGTTTGTAGAGACGAAACTCTCGAGAGGCTAACATTCGCATTGAGGTCCAAAATGGATGGTGCAAGATAAGGTGAAATACACAATTGATGGAGATTCTGTGATGGTGGTACATCATCCACAAGAAGTTCAAAGAGTTCCAAGTTAAGCAACACAAAATATGGTTGATTAGGAAGCAGTTCAAATGAATAAATGCTTGTGCAAATTTGGACCTTCAACAGATTCAGAGACTATGCTAGTCATTAATGTTAGTAATTTAAAATTGAAGATGTTGTGGTCAATGTCAATATGCTTAGATCCATCACTGTACCTGCTTTGAACAATTTTATCTTTACCGTGTGACGTTATTACGTCTAAAAGTGGATTTCCGGGTGCCTCAAAGAAACAATGAAAGATTTAGTGAGTACCGTAATGTGAGTAAGAGGGTCGAAGCCCCTTCAACACTCAAGACCATGATTGGTCTGAAATTCGAGGGGTAGGATGCGATGGGATAAGTGGACAGGACAAGAGTGCTAAGCGAACCACACTTGCCTGGTTATGCGATACTTAAAATGGGTAGTGTTTGCTCATCAGATTTTCCATTTCGATACAACTTCTACTGTCGCCTTGGTCTCCAATAAGGAAAGCAGATGTTTGAAATGAACGTTCGATGTCGTTAGCTTTTCCCACACAACTACATCACACCGATCATCCTCCTCCAGCCACACCGCATGTGCTGTGGACGCGTTTGCTAATTGATAATCCACAAACCGAAATAGTTTTATCAAGGGAATTGCATTTTATAATTTTTAGTGGTGGGCTAGTGGGCATTTATTCGGTCTAGCTTATATCAGTCATTCGTTAAAGGCCGAAAGGACAACTTTTAAGATTGGATTCCTCAAACCAGGGAAGGTTAAGCCTCTGGGTAAGATAGTGCAATTTCCACTTGACTTTAGGATTCCAGAAAACGATTAATAACCGCAGGCTAGGTAATGCATTCCAATATGGTACTGGCACTTGCGCAATCAAGTCAGCATCTAACCAAAGCCAAAAAATGTAAATGTAGCTTGACAAAGTACACCCTGCATCTATTTCATTTTTCCAATTCTACAAAACCTGCCTGCAGCAAGATTTGATTCAAACAGTTATTACAGGCCAATCAAGGACACCTGCCGCGTGTTTGCAACTTTGGTCTCAGGTAAGATCACATGGGTGTCACATATGTGTGACGCTAGTACTTAAAGCACTAAATATGGAAGTATTTAAAAGTAGCCCAACTATTACCTCAAGGACTCTTTTGACACCTCATTTAGCAACTCACCAATGGATTATTATATGTAATCAGCATAAAAAGTCTACCTTACCTGGTGGATCTGATGATGTGCTGGTTACTCTCAAAGGTGAGGTACGCGGACGGTAAAAAATCAACTGGTGCAGACTTGTTACCGATACTATACAAATGCATTTGAATCTTTCGGCCAGATAACCATCAAATTAGACCAGGATATATATTACCGATTCCTCTTCAATGATCAACTTTTACAGCAGTTATATCGCCTAATGTCATGTTCAAACATTAACGGTGGATTATCGTATGCATTGGCAGTTCACTAAATAACTATTGTAGCCAGATCTGTAGCTAAAAATGCAATTAAGAGGCAAAGATCAGCAATAAGATATGGGGCAAGTTTGTTGTTTACTGATATGTACCTGTGGGGGCACGGACATAATCAAGATCTCGACCAGAATAACTGAGGTAAAGATTGTTGGTAATGTTAGAAATCCGAGTACACTAGAAGTAAGATGCGTAGGTTTATACCTATTGTCTGGATATTCTGAAGTTCCAGGATCGTTACCCTCCTCATGTATTTGCATCATTATGAATGACCTAGACCTTACGGAGCTTATCAGCACAATACGGATTGCGCCTCCATTTTGCGTCGGCCCATGAGGCGAATTCCCGACACCTCAACTATTGAAGATAGATCTCTTAAATGTCAAGTTGAGAACGCTTTTTCTGGAGCTACAGATGTCTCCAGCAAATTTAAGCGTGTTTTTTAAGTCAAGTTGGCCTAATATGTAAGCTGGGAGGGAGATATGCTCCAGATTGTTCCTTTCGGTCTTATTATTTGAAGTCACCTTGGTAAGACTACTCCACCACTTCTATGACCTCGATCCCCCGCCAATGAATCTAATTGATTGCCTATTTACAGGTTCAAGCGCTTAATCCTTACTCTTTCCATAGATGATGTCATGCTGACTGACTTTCCAGCCTATCGTATTTAAGAAGCACCGGATTTTTGATAAGGTCAAAGCACTGGAGATAATTCATCACATCTTTTGTGCTTTTTTCGCTCCTATAGAAGTTGTGAAATATTCTCCTAGAAATGGTTGCACTGTTCCAGTCTCAGATGTACTACAGCAGAATTCCATCAAGCAACGAGAGGCCAAGAAACGATCACCCTGTGGGAAATACCCCCGAATCAGGGTGAAGGTGATTTCTTCAAATACCTTTTACATAGCATTAAAAAGTAAAGCATTTTTGTCTCGCGAATACGACGTCTTTCATCGTGAACAATAAGTGAATTTCGTGTTGAGATCGTTCGTATCGTTCATTCCTCCCACTGTAATTATCGCTGCGTAACGAAACTATGGCGGAATAATGCGTGTCCGTGGCAAAAGCAAAGAGGTGCATTAGCATGTAGTCTGTTAAAAATAAAAGTGAAATTCCTCTCTTGTCTACGTGTTTTCCATTCACGCCTCCGCGAAGCAGATAGTCTGTAGTGGGTCGGCAATTAGTAATTTGAAGTCGAAAGGGTGGCTCATTTATCAGGACTCTAGTCTCATTCTTATTTACTACTTGAAGTTCCGCTCATTAAATTAGGTTCAAACGAATTTAATCTGAAGCTCATTTGTAACAGTACAAAGGTCTAACCCGACACAAATGGTTATGGAAGGCCGCGAAATATAAGGTCAGACTTGATCACTTCGATTTGTATGGGAAACAAGGGTTGAAAAGTAGAGTGCTGTTGTCTGAGCCTAACAGGTTTGGCAAACTGTCATTATATACTTCAGTGAGTACAAATAATCCCATATTTTCCTTAGGTCACTTTGGTGGAGTTTGCTCCTTATCACATTGTAATTTTTAGTATGCCTGAGGAGATACTAATATGTGGAACTAGTCAAATTTGTTCCACCAAAGTTGTGCAGTTTTTACGGTTTAATTTGCACGCGTGCGTGGAAGACCTGACCAATTTCTTGCATGTAATCGTCCCCTCTTCCCCCCAAATTCCATCGCATTCACCTACTAATTCTGCTATCGCAACAGCAGTGCCTAATTGTTTATGTCAGGAAGGGACCCTATTGCAAGTGTCTTGCGTTCAAGCATATATTTTGCCCCTTTATGCATTTCCCAGCCTCTACTGCCGTGGCTCGCATTCCGCACGCGCGTCCGCGTGCCTCCGTGCGAGCGATCGATTTCTCGCTCGACCACGCGCCAATCCCGCACCACCAGTGACCCGGACAAACCTACACCTTGAGGCCAAGAGGGGAGACAACTTTGTGACCTCGACCATTTAAGCAATTAATACCACCTACCCAGCATTTAACTCGATTTAAATTGACGTAGCCTTTACACGTCCTTTTGTTACACAAGGTCAGATAGAGGGGATTTGGTAACCGTAAAGGTATGTGTAAATAAAGTCGGCTTGTTTACACTTGGCATTGCTCTTGACTTTTTAGGAGGTTTTTGTAGACGTCTTCAAATAATCCGCAGGCTACTAGATCACTCCTGTTGATGAGCTGTAGTTTAAAGATTCGAAACCCTAGCACTCAGCGTCATATGCCTGTGACACCCTGACGTTCTTGTCAAAGGCTGCATATCAAACCTGTGTTAAAAAATCTAGTTAAAAGTTAGTCACCCGGATTGGAATGGAGAAAGTGCATAGCTACACATTGAAACAATGAAACATCGGGATTACGGAGGGTGATTTTCCTCCGAGACCCTTGTGGAGAATGCACTACGCTACCAATTTAGGACTTCGATTCATCATTTTACTTAACTTAAATGGATAAAGATTGGCGTCTTGGTCTAAGAATACTTGTTGAAATTTCGTGGTGACTCCAACTTTCCGGCTTTTGTGATTGATGTTCCAAGTACGTAACGACAACAAGTGAGTACGAAAGAATGTTGTCAAATAGCCCAAAGATTCAGCAAGGCAGAAACCTCAGATTATTTCGTGTTAATTACTTGATAATGGCTGTTTTACACTCATTCCTTTGGGTGAAATCATTTTATCACCTTAAATTATAGATCGTGTTTTTTGATATACCGTTTAGGTGACAAGCTGTCAGCTTACGCCAACCAGATGACGGCGCGGACGCCTTGATCCCGAGGAGATGATAAGCTCTAGAACCCCAGTTAAACTTTGATAACTTGTAAACCTCCACATTAGTGTTCAAAAAGGTGCTCTTCTCTCGTTCCAAGGCGATGAAACCGGAGATTTAACAGACAAACGCAGAAGCTGTAACGGAATTTTGTTCATTATATTTATCAACAGAAATACCCTAACAGGTGATACTTTCATCTAGTAAACTAACCACAGCAAACCACTAAATAAATTCTTTTCATTCCTATCATTATTTGCGCCCAGATTAAGCGCTGATTAGATTAATACAGTCACAGCTTGTGGACCTATCTGTAGAGTTATAGCAATAGCAGGATTGTATGCATTAATGCAAGGCCTGCTAAGTTTCCTTGGAAGACACGCATAAATACCCAATTGTCCAACACGTGCTATAATGTAATACGTTGATTACATTTTATGCTAATTACTCCGGTTGCGCAGGCACTTAGGGCTCCACTTCTGTACTTCGTCTGGGCGGCATGGCCTGGAGGCCATACCGGTAACCCCAAGCCTTATTGTACGTCCGCAATACATATTTCGCCCAAAGATTATGTCTTCTTTCGTCTTAAGGGAAGTCTCGGGGTAATACATTGATTGAAGCGGAAAGCGGAAACAACCCCACAGGAAAACCTCTGTGAGTTATTTTTTCTGACTGGTAAAACTTAACGTGACGATACGGTTGAAAATGATGTCCACCTTCGGCAACTGTCCCCTTCCGTAGCCTGCAGGAATGCTATTAACAACTAAAACGACACTAGGTGTGAACCAACTGGAAAAGCTCGTTACAGAGCTGTCTTTGGCACCTGTGTGAAGATGTTAGGTAAGTGAACACGCAATGTCTCTTTCTCCACCTCTCTACTCGCTGGATGGAACCCAGATAGACATGGCGGGGCAGCGCCGAAGTGAAAACAACATTGTAAGAAGGAATAGGAGAGAATTCATACCCTCATGAAACCATGCTAAAACACGCCTTTTGTCAGGTGATTCGGCTATTGAGTCAGCGTCCCAACGACTAGTTATGGTCGTGCCCGATGACCAGCACATTCCTCCCACATCCGACACAGTTTCCAAACAGGACAAATCTTCAGATCTAGTAGAATTGCTCAGACAGATCAGTAACATTTCGGCCAGATAAATTTCCAGTTGCAAGCAAATTCAATGACTGGTGCGGCCGGCTTGTGGGTGTTTTTCTTACGGCATCAGTGACGTTAGGTTGGCCAAGGGAAGAGTCAGGGACGACGCTCAAAAGGAGAGAGACGCTGCATAATACGTTGATTATTTGTTTAGTGCTTTATTTTGATCTCGATGACACTTAAGGCTGGCTGGCATGGCATGCGACCAATACCAGTAGTCCCTCAGCCTTTCTGTACGCCCTTTATCCGTATACTGTCTGAGTCTTACGTCTTCTTTCGGCTTCAAAGAAGTCTCGGGCAGCTGCAGTAGAAATTAAATAAATATTTTCATACCTAAACACAATTATGGCGTTGGATGGACTTAAGTGAGTAGAAATATGGCGAATCATTTACGAATATTTAATTAGTGCCCTTATGAAGAGGTGGGATATGCCGAGAAATTAAAGCTATGGATAAACCTTGTGAAAAATGTGTTTACCTTTGCCTGCATGCAGTCATCTACTGGTTCACCCAGAGTCACACGAGTTTGAATAAATTCGTTATTTTCGCGCCTTTTACTCACTTTATTAAGACCCTGGTACCTCGCTTTCTAATGAGTCCAGGCCCAAAATAAGCGATATCAAAATGCAAGGACAAGACGGGAAATTGCAACAAAGCGGTGGCGTTCATCAACCTTGTAAATGTAGATGAAGTGCCCTACAATAGTTTACATCAGCTACCGGAATGCGCATTTCTAAAAATTTGCATGCCAGATGCCTATGCCAAGACGTGCTCTTCACTTGTGAGGCACTGGCATACCTGGGTTTGCACCGACACTCTTGTTGCTAATTGCCTCAATTTCTGCATTTGTGTAACGAGTGTGTACTGAGGATTAAAATAAGAGGTGAAAATGCAGCTGGCACAATTCAGTGTTTGATATTCACTACTAACGTCCCAAAACCTTAAATACAAAAAGCCTAGGCATTGTTGAAATACACGTTTATTTCAATGTACCTTTTGGCGGGGGTGGTCAATGAAGTTTTTCTCGTGGCAGATCAAACATCTCGGCCCCCGAGGAGGAAATGCACTGTGAATACGCAAAAAAGGGTAATACTTGTGTACCCCTTTACCTGCCACCACCTAATAAATCATGTCCTCGTCCAATTCGTCTGCTCGTTCCAAGGGCATGAAGCCTTGGGTGGAAGAGAGAAACACCGAGCCTATCGCAGTTGCGATAGATATAGGAGTTTAGACAAGCTTTTAGTACATAATCGCATTCCTTTAACGGTGTGTCGTTAAAAACCCAAAATTAACTCATATTTACGTTGATAGTGAAATACGATAATCATATTTTGGCAGGATTAAATGCGAGCCTTTCCAGCCTCTGCCCCAGTTACCAAAGTGGCAAGTTCCCCAATCATTCTGTGAAGTAATAACAGAGGATTGCCAGAGGTATCACATTCACTAGAGCATATTTCAGCCCCACCTAGTCTATCTGTTATAAATGACCAAGTTTGTTTTGAAATCACTGATTTGGCAACCAGAGACGAAAGCGTTCTGGCTGTTTTGTAATACGATGGTGGTTTACCCATCGCTATTGGTGAGGCGCCACTTTTGGACTTCTGAATTAGCCTTCTTGTACTACGCTGGGTGGGCTGGCCTTCGGATCAAGCTAGTAGCCCAAACACCTTCTCTGTGCTGAATAAATACATTCTGTCCGAGTATTGTGTCTTCTTTCGTCTTCAGGGAGGTTCCCTTTATTACTAGTAGGAGGATCTTTCCAGTAACTAGCTCTTCAGCCTCTACTTAAATAGCATTATGTTACCACCGCAAGAATCCCAACTATGCTATGAGGAAGCATATGCAATATATCAATTTTCTGCTTAAATTTTGTTTTTACTAAAGAGGAAACTTAGGTGCTATGCTATAATAACTTCGTCGAATAAGCTGGCCTCCGGGCTACACCAATACCCCATCCCTTCTGCATGTCGACAATTCATGTTCTGCCTAAGTATTCTTCCCTCTTTTGGCTTCAGAGAAGTCTTGAGGCACTGCACGTAAACCTTGTATGCCGTTTTGTGGCATCAACTGGAAATACGCGCTGTAATTTATGTTCGGAAATTGCTGAACAAATGGTCGACTTAACTTACTTCAAGTTCTACTGGCAAATATAAACCACTTTTTCCTGGGAATTGTTTAGGGGTAAATAAGGGGAGAATTATCCTTAAGGCCAGGAAAAGTTGGCCGTGAATGACTAGAGGTACGAGCGTCCAATGGTTAAGGCTTCAATCTTAAGTTATTGCAAGGAGGAAACATGTCAACCCTTAATTTTTATTGAACGAGCAATATTGTGAAAGCATAGGCAATGAGGAAGGAGAACATAACTTAACACGTCCGTTGCATGCTTAACAATTGGTTTTGGTAAAGGGGCCAGTCAGGTGTACTGCCATTGTAACTTCATCAAGCGGCTGACCGCCGGGTCGTGCCAGTAGCTCCCAGCCCTACTGCATGTCAGATGTAAGCCTTCGCTCCGAGAATGGTGTCTTCATTTGGCTTCAAGGGAGTCTCGAGTCACTACATTAACTCGAATTAGGGAGTGTTCAAAACACTCAAGTTAAATTAGTTAATAATCACTCAAATATTCGACGAACATACGTCTATATACTAACGTATTTAAGGCTGCTCTCCTGCAATGCTATTCGTCAAATTGTTTGCTACTCTTAAAGAAGTACATCATATGAAATTATCAGGTTTCCAAACTAAATTTAACCAAAATTGATTAATGTCTAGGAGTTATGAGCATCCAATAAAGCACCAACTGTATTTTAGCTCTGTGACACCAATAAGCAATTGAATGTAAGGCGATTTCAAGTTGTTCTATAAGATTGGTTTGTCTATTCAAAATACAAGTGAAATTTAGTATAGCGCATTACTTACATGATAGAAAAGTCTTAGCTGCCTAATGCCTGACCACATGTACCAGTATTATTATTCTAGGCTGTTACTTTCAAGGGTGAACATAATACTTTTGCCTTAAATGAAAAAGAAATACCAAAACTTCACTTATCTCCTGAAGCTGATAGGATTTCAAAAAGCGGGGACTTCAGAACTGTGTGTGTTTGAGGGTACACCTGAAATGATTAGGAGTGTTTTTATCATAAATAGGACAGACAAGTTCTTCTTGAAAAGCACTGGAAAACCATAACTCCACGATCGGTCCTAGATTCGATTTGCGAAGGTCAATCCCAAGTACGCCACCGATTCAGGAAGAAAGATAGTCCCGACCTGTTATGGCAACCACATACCATATTTTAATGTTCTTCCGTGTTTTTCATTTTTGAATACAAGAATACTGACACATTTTCTGAAATTCGTCTAAATTTCAGCTTTTGGACCCCTTGAAGGTTCCAACTGCAGTAGAAGCTCCAAACAATGTAATCCTAATTATTGTTGAAAAAAATGGTATCTTTCTCATTGCTACATGCAACGAAGAAGGTATCGTGGGAATTGGCTTATTCCTAACTATTCACAGCTCCTCCTCTTTTGATCGTGGAGTTCCTTAACCAGGTTGTCCTGGTTTTCGAGGATTACTTCGGGAATATCGGAGAGTCAGTTATTGTTGATAACATTGTTTGCGCGTCTGAGGTGAGGCTCTCGATTGGGTTAAAGTTTTTTCATGAGGAAGTATCTTCGTAATTATATATTACTTTTTCAGCTTTTGGATGAGATGCTTGACAACGGATTCCCCCTGACGACTGAGCCAAATATCCTCAGAGAGCTTATTAAGCCACCTAAACTTTTGCGATCGATTGCGGAGGTAGTGATAGGCCGGCCTGTCGGTGGGGTTACGTCGACTTTGCCCGCCAATCAGTTGACCAAATTACGGTGGCGTCGCGCTGGTGTCAAGTACACCACTAACGAGGCCTTCTTCGACGTTACCGAGTGTGTCAACGCTATCATTGATCGGTCGGGGAATATTCTTCTCGCTGAAGTTGAGGGAGCAGTAGGTTTGACTACTGCAATTAGTTTCCATTGTTTCCCTTACATGGCAGGGGCACCCATCGGTTTTGTTGAATGCAGTTATTGTTGCACAAACAAATAAATGTGGTGAGCTTATTTCCCCCCTCTTTTCTATGCAGATTGACTGCACCATTCATCTCTCGGGGACGCCGGATCTGACGCTTAGTTTTAACAATCCTCGATTGCTAGATGATGTCGGTCTTCACCCCTGCGTTCGTTATTTCCGGTGGGAGAAGCAGAGGATACTTTCCTTCATTCCACCAGATGGAAAATTCCGGTTGTTCACTTATTTTATTCCAAACCTCAGGTAAGTTAAGACTTGGTTGGGTTTGAGATATTGCCATACAATAACTTACTGATAGATTTATTTCACTTAGCTTTAAAATGGGTACCTTTGTGAGTACATAGTTAAGTGCATGGGCTCCTCGGGACGCAGCCTACTCGATTGCTTAAGATAATTTTGTAGTGATTTTTGAGCAGCTTAAAATTTTGCTTCCTGTTCATATTATTGTGCACACTTTTGTAAATGTGAGACTTACCTACTATGGTGGGGATCAATTATGCAATTTCTCCACATGAAATACCCGTTAGGTTCTATTTATGTTCAACGATCGTTCCGTGAAATTTGTTATCTAATGCGATTCCTTGATGCTAAACCGTTCGGATTCATCCTAATGTCAGTACACACTGTTGAACTCTATCAAGGCGCTTTCATTCAAGTACTGGAGTAAGTATCCTTTTCTTTGTTTTTGTTCCAGTTCAATATCCCTTCCGATTGCACTGAGGCACAATATTTCCCTCAAGGCTGTTGGCAGCCGATTCGAGCTCTCCGTATCTCCAAAGTCAACGGCCGGACGACCGGTAAGCTAATAGGCATGTAAACTGCTTTATAGCCTTATCTTTAGAGTAGTAGGATAAAAACGATTCATTTAGTTGTTAGAAGCTAGGTCAAGTACTTATCCTTGCCCTAACGTGTACGTGAACTTTTTACAGAAGTAAACGACTTCTCAGACGCATTTTTGTGGGCAAAAATTTAGATTACTTTAGTATTGTAAGTTAGGTATTATTAATCTCAACTCTGTGATCGGCGATTTCTATCTTCCGGTTAATTTGACTGTTTTAACAGTCAAACGACCTTCATTATACTTCTACATCATTCTTGTAATTTATGATTTTATGGAAAGCTCCCTTACCAAGTGGCTTTGTAACCGATCAAATTGGCTGCATTTTCGACAACCATGAGGGTATCCCCAAACTAATCTAAGGAAAATTTATTTGCCGATAGTCTCAGATTCCATAATAGTAGGAGCACTTTAGTGTAACCATTTTGAACCACTATTTACTTCAAATCGACCATAACGGGTAATCGAGTTCGGCTCCTAACCCACACACCCCACACTATGACGATAGTCAATAGCTTGTAGAAATCGGTTGTGGTATCCGAGTAGTCTCAGAGATTTCATAGCACGGTTTCTATGCCGCTTCTGAATGCTTCAATTAGCACATGAAAAGTCAGAAATCTATCTTACCTGGGTTCCGATTGTTCCCACGTTCACATGGCCACAAATACCTGTTCGCTATAAAACTTCCGCACACATCTTAGTGAGCGATCTAATCCTGTGTGATAATGGAAATTGTATTGCGCTTTCTAAGGAAAATTATTATCTAGCTGCACTAGCCCATTTTGCCCAAAAGAACTCAAACTGAGAGGGCACGTACGTTACCTTCGATTGACTTTATATATTTTTTTAATAAAGCTGGAGAAGGTGAAGGTTAGCGTGGTGATGCCGTCAGAAGTTAGCAGTGTCAACGTGACTCCCTCTCTCGGAAAGTCCAGTTTTGATACGGTAACCAAGATACTCACCTGGGACGTGGGCCATCTAGAGACTCAAACCTACCCCTCCCTTAAGGGCTCGGTGAATCTCTTACCTCTTTGTTAAAGCAACACATTACCTTAACCGTCAGATTAACGGATCCGCTCTTCTTGCAGGTAACGCTGCACAGTGGTTATACACAGGTCTCCACAGCACCCGTTGTTAATCTCCAGTTCGAGTTTCCTCAATGTCTGGTATCCGGCCTCCGTGTTACCAGATTGGAAATGCACGCTGAGGTTCGATAATTTTTCCCCACCTTTTCTCCAAGGGTGTGATTTCCATCACTCTCGAGGCACAAACCAGAGAGAGGAATAAGAAGACCACCCCACTTTTGCACTATTCTGACCGTGCAGCCTGGTTACAATGGTGTCACAATTTGCTTAGCACACATTTGCAAGAATAGTTTATGGATTCAAAGTGCTTGCGTAATCTCCTTCCATATTTTCAACTATTTTGATAAATAACAGCATTAGTTCAAACCATAAACATTTCTGCATTAGTAGACAATAAATTGTGCACGAGAAGCTCCTACTGTGCCTAGCTTTTGATCAAGTAGTTAAGGCTTTTCTTGTGTTTCAGAACTATAAACCCTACAAAGGCGTGAGATACGTTACTGTTGCAGGAAAGTTTGAAGTGAGAGTCTAGAATTTGAAGAAAAAAACCTTGTGATAACTTGTCTGTCTTCTGTGATGGTCTTTTTCTTTCTCCATTCCACATTGTCTCTTTTGAATAAAAATGTTAATATTCCTGGATATAACCTTCTTTTGTGCTAGACATATCAAGATTGTCACTAGTCACGCATAGTATAAAGTGTACATTGAAGGGAAAGCAAATAAACCTTACAAATAGAGAGGTGATGTGTGTGAAAGACAGGAAGCACAAGAGCATAGGGGGCCTAGGGACTCGCGTCTTGACACATCTTTTGTACATAACTGAGCTGCTTTTTCCGCCTCGCGCCCAACTCAAGGTCACTCGTGGGTACTGGGGTTGGGTCGTAGGGGCACCAGACCGGTCCCATGTCTGGCGGCTTCTGGACAACACCCGTGTTGTTGGCCTTCGCCAGCAACTCAGGGTCTACGGGACGCATGGGCCTACAGCAGGTGATACACGAGCATTGAGGAGTAGCATGAAAAGAGGGATCCTATTAAACTGGCACAAAAGCGACTGCAGACCCAAACTTACTGCCAAGTTATTTAAAGAGGTGGCGAGAGAAGTGGACTTAAAGAAAGGGTAAATTTGGTTAGGTTACGTAGTCGGTTTAACGTACCGATTGGGCTCACCGCAGAGGTCGGAGGGCCAGTCAGAGGTGAGGCCGTCCCTACGACTACCCGTGCCCTCGCACACCCACTCAGCGAGCTCGGCGGTATTGCACACAGGTGGGTCAAGCATGAAGGGCACCGAGGATAGGGTGAAGGCGCTAGTGTCGTCAAAGTCCATGATTGGCTGATAGGCCGTAGAGAGGGCATGATTGAAGGCGAACAGACGCTTGCGCTCCAAGTAATTACTGCTCAGGGGGGCCCGTCGCATGAAGGAGTATCCTGTTTCCTTTGCCACGGTCGCATCCACAGCCGCATTCGCGATACGTATCAATTTTTTACCTTTAGAAAAAAGGAGTAGCATGGGCAATGAAAATTTACTCCACAAGGCCAGAAAGGCTTGAACACACTCAAAAAAGTTCATAAAAACAGAGAACTCTCAATGTCCGTTGACAAACAATCATTCATGGAAGAATTCAAATAAACAATACAGCACCCACTGCCAAGCTAATTGGTGACTAAGGTGCTGATCGGATCACTTGTTATTAAAAGGATGACTTTATCCTACGAGCTAGAGAATTTGGTGGATGGTAACTGACTCGTGAATTCAACAAGTAAGCTCATTGTGCAAAAGTGAGTTAGCTCATAAACGAAAAAGGACACGCACCGGCCATCCCCGAAAGAGCATGGTGGCTGGTCACAGGGTGGTGGTAGTCCTCGGGGGAGAGGCTGTCCAAAGTGGCCGGTACGAGACCGTCAGCGTAAGGCGAAGCAAACTCCGTCTGCATGGAAGCATGATTGAAGCGGCAGGAGTCTAGCGAAGTCGAGTACAGATGTATATTTCCACCCTCTGTGCCGAATAGAAGGCATTGACCACTAAAATTAAGAGAAAGGCAGCAAAAAAGGTGGAAAAGGTACCATCTGCTTTCAACCAACCACAAAGAAGATTCACAAGTAGACGACGTACTTGGATGAGACGCAGAAGGAGACGATTCGATCGTAGCAGTCAAGCATGATGTTGCCCAAGCTCTCTGGGTCTAAATTGGGTGCCTCAAATTCAAGGGTCTGGAAGGCGCCTGACTGGGAGGCAACCATGATTCTTTGCGTGGGTCCAACCGTCGCCAAAAAACTGGGATCCACTACGGTCGATAGTGGCGCCTGATAGCGGCCAAAGCGCAAATCATACACCTTCACGAGGAGCACATAGAACAGAAAAGTTTCTGAGCTACGGAGTCAGAATACGACTGCTTTATAGGCGAGTTAATCTTTCAAAAGGGAAATCAGGAGTTAGTCGATTATTCCAGTACACATCCTACAAATCTTGTGACGAGGATAAAGAGGGGAAAAAGGTCAATTATGGTGGGGGAGTGGAAGGGGCTCACATTGACTAGTCGGTCAATACGAAGGGAGCCATTAAGCTTGCGCGACCAGCCGCAGGTAATGAGGGTGAAGCCGTCGTAGAGGATCGACATGTCGGAGATCTCGCCCGAATGTGCCTCAAAGGAGCGCACCACACCCTGCATTGCTCGCGGATCAATTATCTTCACCTGAAAAAACATCCTCCACAATATCAACTCATCTCAGCTCATCAGTGTTAGAAGAGACATGACTTTCATAGATGAACAGGAATTTTGGAATTTATTTCGCCTCCTATCTTTACACTAAGAACCATTTCTAACAAGGTTTTATACCGATTCACGAAACGAGCCTTAAAGTTACTCTCGTGAAGCGCCCAACTAATCTTCAAAACCTTTTATGCGATATTATTCGCTGAAAGTTGGGTCTGCGAAGAGTGGTTGATAATACACAGTATCACACAAAACGAAGTACCAACTTTTATAAATGCCTTGGTTCGAAAACGGAGGTATCAGCGTCATGTATCAATGGAATTCTTGCTAAATCGCAGATATGACGGTAGTGTCATAATATGGGTGTGCTACTTCGTTAAGTGACCTCCGACACATCTGATCGCACCCACAAACCAAACATGGAGCAAATTATTGATCGTGTACACACACCTGACCAGTAGTGTTGGCAGCACAGAGACCAAAAGCGAAGGGTTTCAGACTGACAGCCCCTTCATTCCCCACGTGGATGGTGCGGATGAGGGAGCCCCAGTTGGCGCCACTCACGGCGTCCAGCTCAAACACCTCCGGCTGTAGACCCCCACAGAAGAAGCGATCGAAATCAGCGGAGTCGCTGGGCGAGGTGGCGCAGGGCGTACCACGACACGCCACCATACACTCCAGTGCCTGCATCTTCTCTGTTCTGTGGGGTCACGCAACAGAAAAAAATACGACTGTACAAGCTAAAAATAAAGCGCCTTGTAGACATAAGTCTTTTGAACGATTCACTTAGGAAGCTTTGATCGGCAGAAAATAATTTGGTCAGTTATAAAACTTTCCTAAACCACATTATCATCAAATGTGGAACAAACTGAACCATTTCAAACCGTTAATAAGGTCGGCAAAAATGAGCACAAATGGAGCAAACTGTTTTAGGGGGTGAGGATTAGGTACCAAAGGCTTACGTAGAATAGCCGACAGGTCGGCAAAACTTGGAGTAGGCGAAGATGGCATTTCTCGCCAGTATGTAGACTATGCGCTCGGTGTATCGTGGTGAGGGGAGGACGGATTTGAGCTCACACTCCTGTGGGGAGCCGTCAGTCACTGTTGAGCCCACTGGGATTACTGGTACCGTGGTGTACTGCTCCAGTGTGCCACCGTAGAAACTTGTCAACTGACCCTAAGTGCACATTGAGGGATCGTTGCATGAGCAAACAATTGCTAATGGCGCTGTGGCAGTAACCACTGTGGGAGGACTTACAGTCGCGGTAACACACCACACGAGCTCCTCGTATACATCGAAGGCGATGTCGACGATGCGGTTGATGGGGAAAACGCCATTCATGGGCCGACTGGAAATCATCCAGTAGCCGCCAGTGTTATAAAACTGGCCACCATCATTTACCACGTCATCAGGTACCATTTCTTTGCCTAAAACAAGCAATTTCTTACCATTAATGTGATATGACTCCTAAAAAGGGACCAACAGAGGCAGTAGAGAGCTTTAAAACACAAATTACCCGAAATTCGGAGCCAATATAGTAATAACTGCTGCAAAACATAAGCTTTAGGAAAACAGAATTAAACACCGATTCTATTTCTTTCCACGTGCAACACCAAACCTTTGCACTTATCCCCAATCAACAAGTCTTGAACTAATCTCAAAGTTAAGCAAAAAATCTTAACCTGAAGCAATAAATGCGGATAGTTAGACCATTCTTAAAGGAGGGAGCGAGGAAAATATGCGGACGAGATTGATTGAGCTGGCTCTTGGTACAAATATGCCTGTCCTCAGTCGCAAATCAAATCTCTATGGATTGATAGAGACACATGGACAACTGGCTACTTCCAATCACTATAAATTCCTTATTTACGCAACACCTTTCGTTGAGTGATAAGCGGAAGGTGTGAAGAGTAATGTGAAAGAGGACTACAACACGTTCACGAAAGAACACAAGTACAGTAGCAAACAGCGTGCGAGCAGAAAGAGAAATAAGGTTTTTTTCAAAATTTTATTTAGAATTGTCAAAAGTCGAGTCTCGAATCACCACCACCATTAGCAGCTGAGGCGCAATGCGAGTGAGGTGCAGCCACGTTGGAGCGACTGACGGTCTCCGAAAGACAAGGCGGGAGGTCCAGGTACTGAAAACAGCAAAGGTTTCCAAGTTATTTTCAGTGGAATTATAACAGGAGACTACCACGAGGAAGTATTTCATTTTGGCATGTCATGAAACGTAAGAAATTTGGTAGTTAAGACTAATAAAGGGTCAAATCATTCGCGTTGGCAAGCGCTGCTACCACCTTGAAGCCGTGCTTGTGTGTAGAACATATCACGTTGACAAATGAGCTAGGAGTAGGTCCTGAGCTTACAGCGTGCAGTACTTACACAAATGCAACAAGCAGGCATTTATAGAAAGGGAGACAAAACACCGACCTTCAGAATAAATTGCTTTCGCCTGACTTTGAAGGCCCAATCCAATGTGAGGGGACGTGCAATCGGCTCCAAGTGCATTCCACTGACTGAGGGAAGTTTGAGCACCCTCAGGAGTCCGTTATACTCCCCGTAGAGTGGGTTGGCGGTCACGTTACCGCTAGCCTCTAGACCATCAAAGCCGGTCACCTTGAAGGCGTAATCAGAGTAGCTCAGCCATCTCGACTCCACACCTGATTCCTAGAGAAGAAAAAGGGAGGGGATGAGGTGACCATCAATAACTTTATATGAAGACTCGTATACTGCCCATTAGAAAGGGGATATTCTGATAAAAATTGACTACTCGCTGTCAGATTGCAATGTCTTGCGCTCTAGCCATCACATCATTACGAGAATTACATATTTGGTGATTCGCTGAAGGTGAATTCAGCATCAGCAAATAAAAATAAGCGAGATTTACTTGAAGTGCCAGCTTTGAGACAGTGATGTAGACAACATGGAAGGAGTGACGAAGGAGAAGACGCAGACGAACCATGAAATTGGCAAGACATGCCTGAAGGTTTCGAGGTCGTCGACCCCACAGTGGCGACGCAATCGAATCGATAACTGAAATCAACACGCTGCTTACTCGAGTCACTAACAGTGTGTTAACAAACGATTACGTTTACTGACGTATTCAATTAGTAACTCTTGGTAAACGAGACCTTTGGAAGAATGATAAGGTATTAATTTTGCTAGGCACAAACAGCAGCATAATAGGTTCAAAATAGCTAAACTATTAACAAAGAATTCCCTTGTCAATCTCAAACATAATCCGTCAGAAAAAATGAAGCAGTTTCGACAAATGATTCACATCTGACAGGTTAAACCAACCCGAATGAGTCAGACAACAGAGAAGTAAATAAATTCTAAAATAAAAATCGAGACAAAACTTGCCTATCCTATGTACAGAAGGCTTTTCACTACGAACGATTTTCTCAACGTGTTCCAAAACTTTCAAGAGATTTTCTTCCAAACTAAAAAATTATACGCATGAGAAAAACGAAATCCTTCACCTGGAAAACGAATCGACTCGAAATTCGCACGAAGTCAAGGTGGGAATAGAGGCGAACTCTGCTAGGTCTAAATTACTAGTCATATCGAAGTCATTGGAAAGCGACTTCTTATTTACGCCATGAGGGGCCATCTACAGCAATAAGCTGGATCAAAATATATGCGCCTTACGTCCGAGGCGGGAAGATTTTGATATCGCCAAGCGATGACCAACTGATCGGTTGAGGGCTTTTCAACATTAGTGTGGCAAACGTCAGGTATATCCTGTTCAATAGAGTAATCAGCAATGGAACAAAGTAGTTACCATGAGAAAAGCTTCGATTCGATCTAACGGAGATATAAAACAAATGTTGTGGCGATATATCAAACCCTGTGCCACAAAAAGTTTTAGGAAGTATCGAACGTAT